AGAGATCTAGGATATCTGCATGCCCACCCCCCTCCAAACACCCCACCTGTCATGCTCAGCACTTTTTAATTTTAATTTTAATTATTACATTTGGCCCGACCATTGTTTTAACTGCGTCATTGCGTGTTGTTAATGTTATTGCTTGTTTTTTGTTTTATTTTGCTGTATTATTGTTGTTGTTGTTTTATTGTTGTATTTTGGGCTCGGCCTCGTGTAAGCCGCACCAAGTCCTTCGGGAGATGGTTGTTCATTCGTTCAGTCGTCTCCGACTCTTCGTGACCTCATGGACCAGCCCACGCCAGAGCTCCCTGTCGGCCGTCACCACCCCCAGCTCCTTCAAGGTCAGTCCAGTCACTTCAAGGATGCCATCCATCCATCTTGCCCTTAGTCGGCCCCTCTTCCTTTTGCCTTCCACTTTCCCCAGCATCATTGTCTTCTCTAGGCTTTGCTGTCTCCTCATGATGTGGCCAAAGTACTTCAACTTTGTCTCTAGTATCCTTCCTTCTAGTGAGCAGCCGGGCTTTATTTCCTGGAGGATGGACTGGTTGGATCTTCTCGCAGTCCAAGGCACTCTCAGCACTTTCCTCCAACACCACAGCTCAAAAGCATCGATCTTCCTTCGCTCAGCCTTCCCTAAGGTCCAGCTCTCACATCCGTAGGTGACTACAGGGAATACCATGGCTTTGACTAGGCGGATCTTTGTTGCCAGTCTGATGTCTCTACTCTTTACTATTTTATCGAGACTGGACATTGCTCTCCTCCCAAGAAGTAAGAGTCTCCTGATTTCCTGGCCACAGTCTGCATCTGCAGTAATCTTTTCGGGCGATGGTAGCAGGGTACAAATAAAGAATTATTATTATTATTATTATTATTATTATTATGCAGATAATCCACAGTCTGAAGCCGGAGTATAGGGCAGTGTAGATCCAACCTTAGAGCGTTTGTCAAATTATAAATCTCAGAATCCTGTAGGATGTCATTGTGATAGTTATAGTGGTACCAAAGGGCTATAATTGTGTCATGTCGGTTAAAGGGGAATGTTGTTGTTGTTTATTCCTTCAGTCATTTCCGACTTTTCGTGACCTCATGGACCAGTCCACGCCAGAGCTCCCTGTTGGCCATCACCACCCACTCCTTCAGAGTCAAGCCATTCGATCATGCCAGCCATATCTGCATATCTCAACCTTTCAAAAAACTTGCCCAGCTTGAGGAATCTATTCTTAGATTTATTGCCGGCCATTTGGACACATTATTTTAAATCTATCATCTGGACATTTGCTTCATTGTTCTTCCCAAGGACCGCTTCCTCCGCTCCCATTGGCCGGGAGTTCGAAGCGGCGCTGGTTTTCTGATTGGCCGAGGCGCGGCTAAGCTGGCCGTGGCTCCCCTCCAGCTGATGAAAACAGCCAGTCGGGGAGATGCCAGCTGAGGGGCGGGGGACAGGAAATTTGAACTTTGACAGCTCTGTTTTTCTATAAAAGTGTACCAAAATGTATTGCATGTATGTCTCTCTTGATGAACTATCGCAGTTTGACATCCGTTCCAGCTGGACAAAATAAATACAACTCGGTGGCTTTTCTTCAACTTTGGTGAGATTTATTTGGGAAAATTAAGGGAAAATTCTTAGCTCTTTTCTCTTTGCTCACCAGAGTATCGGATCCTCCTTGGTGGATCTAAGGGCTCCTCTCTCCTCAGTGGGAGCCTCTAAATTCTAGCTCGATATCAATAGGTGCAGCCTAGAATCACATTGACTTTTTTAGCTGCTGCATCATACTATTATGATGAGTGGGTTTCTGTGTTGCAAAGTATACTGCCAAATACAAGATCTGTTTAGCCCAAACCTTGTTAAATTCCCCCTCTTTCAGGGCAATGATGTGACTCAAGCACTAGGCATGTGGGTTATACTAGGAACTGTATCCATTTAAAACATTAACCAGCAATATTTTATTGTTACAACAGAAAATAAAAAGTCATCCACAAATACAAGCATTTTTTAAGTTCTAGTAGTTCAGTCATTTGTCTTGGATGTATGAAACTCATAATTCTAAGAATCGATATCCATATAATCCTAACTGTCTACAGACGTCACATGCATCTCCTGGAATGATTCCATCAGCGCTGCCTCTGGAAAATCCTGCAAATCTCTTGGGAAGACAGGCGGACAAACGTCAGCATGCTGGAAGAAGCAAAGACCACCAGCATTGAAGCGATGGTCCTCCACCATCAACTCCGCTGGACCGGCGACGTTGTCCGGATGCCCGACCACCGTCTCCCAAAGCAGCTGCTCTACTCCGAACTCAAGAACGGAAAACAGAATGTTGGTGGGCAGGAAAAGGGATTTAAAAATGGGCTCAAAGCCAACCTTAAAAACTCTGGCATAAACACTGAGAACTGGGAAGCCCTGGCCCTTGAGCGCTCCAGCTGGAAGTCAGCTGTGACCAGCAGTGCTGTAGAATTTGAAGAGGCATGAATGGAGGGCGAAAGAGAGAAACATGCCAAGAGGAAGGCGCGTCAAGCCAACCCCGACCGAGACCACCTTCCACCTGGAAACCGATGCCCTCACTGCGGGAGAAGATGCAGATCAAGAGTAGGGCTCCACAGTCACCTGCGGACCCACCAGAACACTGGAAGACTATCCTACTCAGCCAATGAGGGATCGCCTAAGTAAGTAAGTAAAGTAAGTAATCCTAACTGAGCTGGGAGAGACCTGAAAGGCAGAATATTCTACAATTGTGTATTTGTTATATTCTCCCTTCCTGTATCCCAGTTGGAAAACTCTACGTGTTGTATTCAAAAATTAAATGTTTCACCTGAGAGATGTGCAGCATACTTCCAAACGTGGAAATAATCCCTATCACAGTGTTTCTCAACTTTCCTAGTGCTGCGACCCCTTAACCCAGTTCCTCATGTTGTGGTGACCCCCAACATTATTTTCATTGCTACTTTATAACTGTAATTTGGCTACTGTTATGTATTGTTATGTAAATATCCGACATGCAGAATGTATTTTCATTAATTGGACCAAACTGGGCACAACTGGGGGGGATTGATTTTGTCACGAGAGTTGTAGTTACTGGGATTTATAGTTTGCCTACAATCAATGAGCATTCTGAACTCTACCAATGATGGAATTGAACCAACCTTGGCACACGTGACCTACAGAAAATACTGGAAGGGTTTGGTGGGTATTGACCTTGAGTTTGGGAGTTATAGTTCACCAACCTCCAGAGAGCACTGTGGGCTCAAACACTGATGGATCCGGACCAAATATTGGCACAAATACTCAACATGCCTAAATGTGAACAGTGGTGGCATTTGGGGAAAATAGAGCTTGACATTTGGGAGTTGTAGTTGCTGGGATTTATAGTTCACCTACAATCACAGAGCATTCTGAACCTTACCAATGAGAAAATTGGGCCAAGCTTTCCATGCAGAACCCCCACAACCAACAGAAAAATACTGTGTTTTCTGATGGTCTTTGGCGACCCCTCTGACACCCCCTCACGACCCCCCCAGGGGTCCCGATCCCCAGGTTGAGAAACGCTGCCCTATGTGAAGATCCCTTACCTTGCCAGCCAGGGTGGCAGGGCCCAGGAAGAGACAGGCTAGGTAGTTTCAGCTTGTAAGGCCTGGCAGAGAGCTGCTGGAGCCATCTTAGTTAAGGGAAAAGCTCCAGTTCAGAGAGGGGGAGTGGCCTAGGCCTGAGCCAGCCCAGCAACAGCCAGGATTGGTTTGGAAAAGGGGGGTGGAGTTAGTCAGTTGGAGGGAAAGAGAGCAGATAATTTTGACAGTTCAGTTTTAGTTCTGAGTGAGTTTAGAGTAGGATTGGAAGTTTTTAGGAGTCTCTGCTAAGAATAGGCAGCTTGCCTGTAGTTTGCACAGCAAAGTAGGCTGTGGCAGACTGAGTTACAGCTATTTTTAGAACAGAAAATAGCTGGGTTTTGTGTTAGAAATTGTAACCAAGAAAATAGAACCATTCTCTCAAGTAACCATTACGCTTCTAAGAACCAAGAACACTTTATTTGTAACAGCCAAGCCTCTGAACCTGCATTCACTTTTTATTCTGTAACTGGTATTTCAATAAACTCTTTCTTGTTATTTTTAAAATTTAAGCCTGAGTCAAGTGCCATTTTTGGTTGGAGTCCTTTTCCTTGTTGAATCAACCTCTCCTGTTTCCCCTCAAAGAAAGCCCTTGTTAATACACAGTATTTGGTGGAGTAAAAAAGCCTTTTTATAATTTAAACAGCCTTTTAGCAGTCTAAATAGCTAGAGGTTTCGTGATTCTTCAGGTTATGGTGGCAGCGAAGGTTTTAAATAAACAGACATTCCCCAAACGCTATAAGAGCCAAAGTGGTGTGATTTCCTTATTGTCAGGAGGGACAGTGTTGGGATCTGCTTGCCCCCTGTCCAGTGATATTGTTTGGCCATCAAAGAAATTATATCATTATAATTTGGGGACAGTGGTGGGATTCTTTGACCCCCCTGCCCAGACGGCCAATTGAGGAGTCCTTATCATTTGTGTGGCAGCGGTGGGATTTGTTTGTCCACTCTGCCTTGATAAGCCTCTAAGTTATTATACCCTATCATATTCACTAGAAATCTACTAAGTGGAATCCTGAATAACACTACAACACAAATGCAGCTTTTTGAGTGGACTGTTATGATTTTCTTACTGCAAAAGCGTTAACAAAACATCCTGAACCGACATATTCTGAGCAGAAGATGGGGAGGCTTGTAATTCCAAATGTTGTGCTACCTAACATTACATTCGGAAACCTATATAAATTGTGTTGAGTTGAAAAAATGACAATTTCTCTTGTTTTACTAATACGGGGAGGTGAGTAGCTACAAAATTCCTACTTCCAATGTATAGGATTAATGTGTACCAACCCGTATTTAGACAAGAATATACCCTTCCCCACATGTTTTTTACAATCATAAGGTGTAGAAACTTGATCCCCCCATCTCAAAATGAAAATCAATTATTTCAGGTATTATTATTGGTCATGCTTGTCAGACTTCTTGCTTTGGCTTGGGGCACACCAAAGCAGTTATAAAGGCATCCATGAGAGCATGTTCTTTCCTTTAGCACAGACAAATGGAGAGAAGGTCCTCGAGGGTTGTTGCTCCTTTTCTGCACCAAAGCAAACTTTCCCTTTCTCCCATTGCTTCAGTTCTGACCAGTCAAGAAAAGCAACCTGTAGCAACCAACCCCTTGCTCCTTCATCAGAAAGGAGCCTCAGGCCTGCTGGTTTCCATGTTGACCTTCTCACTTCCGGCAGTGATACCAGAAAATGCCTCCAGTGAAGACGACAGCTAACAATGCCACGACCACCACAGCTGCGATCCAACTGCGAGACCTCTCTGTAACAGAAAACAAGAGATTGTGTTTAGCAAGAGAGGCATAAAGAAAGAAATGTCTCAGGGCAACTAACTAAAGGTAAAGGTGATTTATGATAACAGTCTTGCCAAGGACAACCACACTCCGGTATTTATTTATTTACGATATTTCTACCCCATTTCTTCTCTACCTCCGAAGGGGGACTTAGGACAGCTTACATTTTGGTAGCGATTCGATGCCACTACAAATAAACAATTACAATAATACAACAACCATTAAAATATGTAAAGCATTAATTAAAAACAATACATTAAGCATGAATTAAAACAATAAACAGTATCATCAGCTGTCATGCCATTCCAGTCAATTTCCAACCAAAGTGCTAATTAAGTCTGCTGTCCCAAAAACCTGGTCCTAAAACCATGATTTTAATTTCTTCCTGAAAGCCAGGAGGGATGTAGCCAATCTTATCTCACTTGGAAACACGTTCCACAGGTGGGGGGCCACCACCGAGAAGGCTCTGTCTCTTGCCCCCACCAGGCACATTTGCGATGTAGGCGGGAGCGAGAGCAGGGCCTCCCCGGATGATCTTAAATTACGAGGTGGAATGTTGAGGCAGATGTATTCGGACAAGTAAGCTGGGCCAGAACCATCTAGAGCAGTGGTTCTCAACCTGTGAGTCCCCAGATGTTTTTGCCTTCAACTCCCAGAAATCCTAACAGCTGGTAAACTGGCTGGGATTTTTGGGAGTTGTAGTCCAAAACACCTGGGGACCCACAGGTTGAGAATCACTGGTCTAGAGCTTTATAGGTCAAAACCAGTACTTTGAATTGAGCTCAGAAGTGGACCGGCAGCCAATGGAGATGACATAACGGGGGTGGTATGTTCCCTGTATGTCACTCCAGTTAGTAATCTGGCTGCTGCCCATTGGGCTAGCTGGAGTTCTCGAACCATCTTCAAAGGCAGTCCCACGTAGAGTGCGTTGCAGTAATCAATTCAGGATGTAACCAGAGCGTGGACGACCATAGCCAGATCAGACTTCCCAAGGTACAGGCGCAGCTGGCGCACAAGTTTTGACTGTGCAAAAGCTCCCCTAGCCACCGCCATTCCCCAAACCAGCTAGCCGAATGTCTATGGGGGGCAAAGTGGGGGGGGGGGGTTGTTTTACACCCAAAGGACCAAATTCAATTTCACATAACTGTTGGTAGGGGTAAAGGCAAAAGGGCATTGCCCCCAAAAAATGGCAGAATATTTTAGCTGAAAGTTCCCACGGCATTTTGTTAACTTCTCTTTCACGTTATACCATGACAGCATTTTGAATCACTTTAGCTGCTATGGCTGCATCTTATTGAATTGTGGAATGCATAGTTTAGTGATGCTCTAAAGTAGTGTTTCTCAAACTTTACTCCTCCAAATTTTGTTACATAGTGTTATTGTTTTTTTCACGCATTTCTACCCTGCCCTTGAAGGGGACTCAGGGCGGCCTCACATAAGTATCGTATATACAGCATATACAGTTAAAACAGTAAAAATCATTTAAAACATTATACAAATTAATTCACAAGTTCATTAAACAATAAATTAAAACATGCCAATTAAAACCAAGACCAAGTCAGGTAAGTCCAATGTCACTGATGTCCTAAATTTCCTTTCCAATTGCTACTATCCACTAACGGAACGCCTGGTCCCAAAGCCAATTGTCTTCTCAAGGACAGGAGGGAGGTGGCCAATCTGGTATCCTTAGGGAGGGAGTTCCACAGATGGGGGGCCACTGCCGAGAAGGCCCTGTCTCTTGTCCCCACCAACCATGTTTGCGAGAGTGGTGGGATCGAGAGCAGGGCTCCTTCTGATGATCTTAAGCTTTGTGATTGTTCATATTGTTGTCTCCTCTCAAATAGGTGACTGACTGCTTCGTGTTGAAATCAAACTGTGTCCCAATCATTCCTAATTCTGTAATCAGTATATGCTAAACTTATTTATTTGCCTACTATGCATAGTTTGATCTCTTTTTTCACTCTCCATGACTTTCCAGAAGATGACCACTTATTTATTTGCCTACTATGCATAGTTCGATCTCCTTTTTCACTCTCAATGACTCTTCAGAAGATGACCACATCATCCTCACCTCCAAATTAACTCCAGATGAAATTCTAATTGCAACTCTTCTGAGGAAGCAACAACATGGATATGGTCAAAAAAAAGAGGAAAGAAGCCTAGGAGCCTCTTTCATTACCCTACCTTGAAAGAGGATGTCAATTTGTGCTGACTTCGTGCCATAAATATTACGTGCTAGACATCGATAAGTCCCATTATGGAAGCTTTGAGCTGGATGGATTGTCAAAATCTGGATGTTGTTAGAGTACTCCACACTGCTGTTGGAGGGAAGATCCCACGAAAACTCTGGGAAGGGTTTTCCTTCAGCCTCACACTTCACCACAATCTTGGCATCAGCTTTGTACATCATGGGATTTGCCAACACACTGACATTGTAAGGGCTTGCTGCAAGAAAAAATGAAGGAGTTGGAGGGAAGGCCAATTTATGATATGGACAAAGAGAAGATTGCATTTCACTGCATCCTTCTCTCACTTAGAATCATAGAGTTGGACTACGAGTCATCTTGCCACTTTGAGTCTCGTTATGGAGAGAAAAAGTGGGATATAAATAAACATCATAATCATAATCCCATGCCATGCAGGAAAAAGGAAACAGGACCCCTGACAGATGGCCATCCAGCCTCTGTTTAAAAGCTTCAAAAGAAGGAGCGTCCACCACATTCCAGGCAGAGAGTTCCACTGCTGAACAGCTCTCACAGTCATGAGAGAGCTTGAGTTCTTCCTCATGTTCAGATGGAATCTCCTTTCTTGTAGTTTGAAGCCATTGTTCAACGCGGGTCCTAGTCTCCAGGGAAGCAGAAAACAAGCTTGCTCCCTCCTCCCTGTAACTTCCTCTCACATATTTATACATGGCTATCATATCTCTTTAAGCCGCTCCTCATAGGGCTTGTTCTCCTAGAGGCAGGAATATGACATTCAAAGCACCTCTGACAGATGGCCATCCAGCCTCTGTTTAAAAGCTTCCAAGGAAGGCACCTCCACTGCACTCCCAGGAAGAGAGTCCCATGGTTGAACAGCTCTTATGGTCAGGAAGTTCTCCCTAATGTTCTAGTGGAACATATTTTCCAGTAATTTGAACCCAATGCTCCAAGTCTACCCAGTTTACCTTGCTGGGGTCCAAAAACAAAGCCAAAAGAAGCTATGGAACTCACCCACAACATTCAAGGTCCTTGTTGCACTCTTATTCAACACTTCTGAGCCCACCTCGACCTGGGCCATACAAATGATCTCAGTCTTATCATCCCGAATAAGATTGGGCACAAAACTGTACTCCAATGAAGGTTCACCATGGCTGCTGTTTAGGAGAATTGCGCCTCTGCTGAGGGAGATGTTAACGTTAGGCAAGATTTGATCTCTCACCCGCAGGCTAGAAATGTTGCAGATTATTTTGTCCGAGTGACCGCTCTCAATCTCAGAAGCCAGGTAGATATCTGGGTTTGAGAATTCTACAGGAGGACAACAAAGATAGACAATGAACACATTTAAGAAACTTGAAAAGATACCAAATCTATCTGAACAAAGTTCATAGGAACTAGCCATCCCCTGCCACGCGTTGCTGTGGTCCAGTCTGTGTATATGTATTTTGTGTATATATATGTTATTTTATTTATTATTTATTTAAAAGTTTTCTATACCGATCTTCTCACCTACAAGAGGGACTCAGATCCGGTTCACAACACGTGTTCATATACAAGAATACAAACCACACAATGCATCATCGTTACACAATTAAAAACATATTACAATACAACATCGTCATCATCACACTTATATAGCCACGTCGCCCTGGTCATAATTCACAGTTATTCATTCTCCTTCCATGTGGATCAAAGTTGACTCAGTTATCAAAGGCCGCATTCCATAGCCAAGTCTTTGTTAGCTTCCTGAACGTCAGGAGGGAGGGAGCAGTTCTAATCTCCTGTGGGRGGGAGTTCCAAAGCYGGGGAGCCACCATCGAGAAGGCCCTGTCTCTCGTCCCCACCAACCRYGATTGTGACAGTGGTGGGATYGAGAGCAGSSCCCCCCCCCCGGAAGATCTTAAAGACCTTGATGGTTCGTAGGGGAGAATCCGTTCGGACAGGTAAACAGGGCCAGAGTCGTTTAGGGCTTTGTAGGTCAAATGTGTGTGTTTGTGTATATATGTGTAGTTTTGTGAATGCACTGTAATGTAGTTTTTGTTTTTTTGCTTTTTAAGTCCCTTCTGCTGTGTTTTTCAGTGTTTTTATGAGTGATGGCCACTCGTTGGCCTGACAGCTGTCTTGTGTCCAAATTTGGTGTCATTCCATCCAGTGGTTTTTGAGTTATGCTAATCCCACAAATGAACATTACATTTTTATTTATATAGACTAGCCATCCCCTGCCATGCATTGCTGTGGCCCACATGGGGGTTCTGTGTGGAATGTTTCGTCCAATTCTATCATTGGTGGGGTTCAGAATGCTCTGTGATTGTAGGTGAACTATAAATCCCACCAACTACAACTCCCAAATGTCAAGATTCTATTTTCCCCAAACTCCACCAATGTTCACATTTGGGCATATTGAGTATTCGTATAGAGTTTGGTCCAGATCCATCATTGTTTGAATCCACAGGGATCTCTAGAGGTAGGTGAACTACAACTCCAAAACCAAAGCACACTGCCCACCGAACCCTTCCAGTATTTTCTGTTGGTCATGGGAGAATTGTGTACCACGTTTGGTTCAATTCCATTGTTGGTGGGGTTCAGAATACTCTTTGATTGTAGGTGAACTATAAATTCCAGCAACTACAACTCCCAAATGACAAAATCAATTTTTTTGAGTGAAGGACATACATTGGGTTGTTAGGTGTCTTGTGTCCAAATTTGGTGTCAATTCGTCCAGTGGTTTTTGAGTTCTGTTAATCCCACAAACGAACATTTTTATTTATATAGATTGAAAAAAGTGCTGAGGATATGCATTTTTTGCTATAAAATTCAATTTTCCAAGCCCTGTATCAAAGCGATTTGCTAGATTTTGATAATACTGTATCTTTGCATTTCATTTTTTTTCTGCCTAAGTGGAGTATCTTGCATTTGTCACTGTTGAACTTCAGTTCAACAGTGGGATCAGACACTGGAGTATAGGGCAGTGTAGATCCAGCCCAGAGGCGGCCCTAGGTAATTTTCAACGGTAAGCAAACAGTATTTGGCGCCCCCCCCCCCCAACCAATCATTGATATATATTTTCTGTTCGTCGTGGGAGTTCTGTGTGCCATATTTGGTTCAATTCCATCATTGGTGGAGTTCAGAATGCTCTTTGATTGTAGGTGAACTATACATCCCAGTAACTACACTTGCCACACTTGCTCCCTTGCCTGGCCCGCTTTGGGTCTGGAGGCGTGCCTGAAGACCCCGGCGTGTGCACCAAAAGTCACCTCTTCTCCTGACTTTCTCCTCAGCCATTGGACCAAGAGAGAGAGAGAGAGAGAGAGGTGGAGATGCCCACCTTTCCTGAAGGTAGGCGCAAAAACAAAGGAGGGAGCGGAGGTGGGAGATACCTCCAGCCGGAGGGGCTCTCTCTCTCTCTCTCTCTCTCTCTGTCCCAATGGCTGAAGAGAAAGTCAGGAGAAGAGGCGACTTTTGGTGCGCATGCTGGGGTCTTCAGACACGCCTCCGGACCCGAAGCGGGCCAGACATGGTGGCTCCGCCCCTTGGCCCACCCGCGGATTGGGGAGAGGGGGCGGGTGGAGCACCAGGGGCTCGGGAAAGAGAGCCTGTCATGGGGAAGGGATCGAACATGGAGAACGATTGAGTGCCGGCTCTGCTCGCGCACCCGGTGGCCGGGTGGAGCAGGAACAAGAGGGGCTAGGCGAGGCTCAAGGGCCCCGCCCCTTTGGGAAGAGGATCGCCTGGCAGCGAGGCAAGAAAGCCGAGGCTCCCCCCGGACTGCTAGGGCTGTTGTGAGATGAGGGGGCGCTCCTCAAGTGGTGGTCGAGGGGCATTTACAGAGGCCCCTCTGCGCCCCAGGCAAAAAAAAGTGTTCTGCAACTGCTTACTTCGCGTAATGGACAAGCCGCCCCTGATCCAGCCTAAATTAAATGTCCAGTCTTAGATCTAGTAACAATGAGCAACGACAATCCTATCAATTATCTAATGGGCCTCACAAGATTGAACATCTTGGACCTGTTAAGTGAAAAGGAAGTGGAAATGAATTGCTTATAGTAGTTTGAAAGAACTGATTAGTTTTTGGTGTTATGCCAGGAGATATGTATAGGAAAAGGGAGTAAATAGATGTGGGTGAGCCTTACTGCCAGGAAAGCTGGGATAAGAGACTGGCACCAGGAACTCTTTCCTATATTAAGAAAGATACATGTAGGAAGTTGTATTGTCTAAAACACTGCTACATATTATCTGAGACAATGTGTGAGCATTAACGGGCATTACCGTCAGCCTACAACGTTTTGGTTCCTCAGGAAACCCAAAAGGGAAATGGGTTTCAGATGCTTGCTTAAACATTCCAGATGTGGAGGGGTAATTATATTTATTACAGAGGTTGGAATGTTACCTCCATAATTAATTTTGTGTATTTTATTCACCAACACACATACAGCTCCTATTACTCTTATTTGTATGCAAGGTGAAAAAAATGTAGCACCTTTGTGGCTGAAAGAATGGAAATTGTAGCATATGCTTTTGTAGACGGAGCCAACTTAGAATCATAGAATCAAAGAGTTGGAAGAGACCTCATGGGCCATCCAGTCCAACCCCCTGCCAAGAAGCAGGAATATTGCATTCAAACCACCCCTGACAGATGGCCATCCAGCCTCTGTTTAAAAGCTTCCAAAGAAGGAGCCTCCACCACACTCCGGGGCAGAGATCCACTGCTGAACGGCTCTCACAGTCAGGAAGTTCTTCCTCATGTTCAGATGGAATCTCCTTTCGTGTAGTTTGAAGCCATTGTTCCGCGTCCTAGTCTCCAAGGAAGCAGAAAACAAGCTTGCTCCCTCCTCCCTGTGGCTTCCTCTCACATATTTATACATGGCTATCATATCTCTTTAAGCCGTTCCTAATAGGGCTTGTTCTCCAGACCCTTGATCATTTTAGTCACCCTCCTCTGGAAACTTTTCAGGTTGTCAACATCTCCCTTCAATTGTGGTGTCCATAATTGGACACAGTATTCCAGGTGTTTAATCTTTCAACTGCACTAGATTGCAATGAATTGATTATTTGCTAGTATCCTTGGTTAGACCACACCTGGAATAGAGTGAATCTACTTCATCTAATGAAGTAGATTCACTCTGCAAAATATAAACTTCTGTCTCTCAGGGTTGCAACAATATTCCTTTGCATAATAAAACAGAATAAACCAGTTTTAAAGTTACTTTTTAGACTGGTAACCTTTCAGTGAGGAGCCCCCAGCAGGAAGGTAACGGCGCTTCATGTAGTCATGCTGGCCACATGACCTAGGAGGAATCTATGGACAACGCCGGCTCTTCAGCTTACAAAATGGAGATGAGCACCACCCCCCAGAGTCAGACATGACTAGACTTAATGTCAGAGGAAATCTTTACCTTTACTTTTTAACCTTTCAGTGAACATACTGAGAGATGCTTTCAGTAACTGTTTCTTACTTCTAAGTATGAGGGTTGAATGAAAAGTAATGCCTCCACCTTCGTAACTTCTCAACAGATGGCAGTACTAGCACGTGGCAGGTACTGGCTTGTTCAGTTCAATTTTGGTGGGAAGCCTTAGCATTGAAACGGTTGTGTTGTTTAAGTGCAAAGTATGGAACGCTGCACAGACGGTTGGTCAACACAACTTAAGCAACATGCAGTCATTGAATTCTTGACAGCAGAAGATATCACCCCAAAGGAGATTCATCAGAGAATGCAAGCTATTTATTATGATTGTGTTGATGTGAGTACTGTGCGTTGTTGGACAAGTAAGTTTAGAGATGTTGAGGTGGGAACAGCTGACTTGCGTGACAAACAAAGAGTTGGGAGTCCTGTGACAGCAACCACCGAGCTTCACAAGCAAAAGGTTGACAGATTGATTCAAGATGATTGTTGTATCACTCAGAGAAAAATTTCAAGCATGTAGCATGGCAGAGAGACGGGCACTTTAGAGCTCCAAGATGTGCCAGCCTTGATCGAGCGACTGGGTAGAGTGACAATAGATAGAAGCGTGGGGAACAGCAAAACAGGGGGTGCTGCTGATGGTCTAAAAGGGGACTCTCTCCTCAAGAGAGGGTCACCAAATAGACCCGGCAAGGTGCCCAAGGTAAGGCGAGTCGCGCCAAGGCGCTCAGGATTACACCCGAACTATCTCTGACCACGCGCATTTTAATGGAAAGAAACAAGAAACTCAAGAGAAAAAGTAAGTAAGAAAAGGGTTCCGGAGAGGATGGCGGAGTGCTCCTTCCAGGAAGGGAGGAAAGAAAGAAATAAAGAAAACTTAAGCGGGGAGAAAAGAAAAAAAATCACCCCAGGAAAGAAAGAAAAGGAAATTATCAAAAATTTCAAGCATAATCGGCATTTTCATAAGAACATGTGGGTCACATTATTGCTTTGCTTGGCTATCGGAAGATCTGTGCACGATGGGTTGTGGAAACAGAGTGTCGACTTCTTCTGTGACGGCTTTAGAAAACTTGTTCATTATTGGCAAAAATGTATCCGATAGTCTGGTGATTATGTGGAAAAGTGAATAGTGGTAGTTAAAGAGCACATGCTAAGGATTATTTCTGTGTTTGATTTATTAAAATATTTCCATCCAAACCCAAGTAACGAAGTTGGAGGCACTACTTTTCATTCAACCCTCATACAAGAGAATGAAATGTGTTGTTGATAGAAGTGAAATATGCATTAAGAGGTGAAATATGAAGCACCAGCAGGTCCCTCCCAACTCCCACATTCTTTGAATACTTACGATAAACATAGATTACTGCCCTAGTGTGGATGGAGCCCGATCCCTTGAATTTGGCCACACACAACGGTTGAGTGGTCCATTCTGTCACATTCTTGATGTTCAGAGAAATCCACCCTTCTCCTTCCTGGACATCTCGTTCAAAAGACACCTCCCAGTCCATTTTAGTGTAGTTGGTGCAGGTAGATGTGCAGTTGAGTTTCACAGAGCCCCCAAATTCAACAATCGGGGCCTTAGGGTGGATGGCCAACTTACATAGTTCCGCTGCAAGAAGAAAGGGCAAACACCAGTGAGTAATTCAGATGATGGCTTTTTAGTCCAGTTTGGACACCATTCTAATAATAATAATAATAATAATAATAATAATAATAATACTACCCATAGTAGTAGTAGTAATAATAATAATAATCATCATCATCATCATAATCAAAGTATGGATCGTCGATGTCGCAATCCCAGGTGACAGCAGGATTGCAGAGAAACAACAGAATATATTTGTCGTGTCATCAGCAACCATTGTATTACAATTCTAACAGAGCAAAACAAACACACAGATTAAAAAGAAAAAGAAAAAAACACACAGATTTTGCAAACTTGGTAGTTGGTTAAATGTCCTTTGACCAGTATCTGGCCACTTGGAGTGACTCTGGGGTTGCCGCAAGAAGGTCCTCCATCATGCTTGTGGCAGGGCTCAGGTTGCATTGCAGCAGGTGGTCTGTGGTTTGCTCTTCTCCGCACTCGCATGCCGAGGATTCCACCCTGTAGCCCCATTTCTTAAGATTGGCTCTGCATCTCGTGGTTCCAGAGCGCAGTCTGTTCAGCGCCTTCCAAGTCACAGTCTTCTGTGTGCCCAGGGGGGAGTCTCTCATCTGGTATCACCCATGAATTGAGGTGCTGGGTTTGGGCCTGCCACTTTTGGACTCTCGCTTGCTGGGGTGTTCCAGCGAGTGTCTCTGTAGATCTAAGAAAACTATGTCTTGATTTAAGTCGTTGACGTGCTGGTGATACCAAAACAGGGGATGAGCTGGAGATGTCTCTGCCTTGGTCCTTTCACTATTGGCTGCTACTTCCCGGCGGATGTCAGGTGGTGCAATACCGGCTAAGCAGTGTAATTTCTCCAGTGGTGTAGGGCGCAGACACCCGTGATAATGCGGCATGTCTCATTAAGAGCCACACTCACTGTTTTAGCGTGGTGAGATGTGTTCCACACTGGGCATGCATACTCAGCAGCAGAGTAGCATAGCGCAAGGGCAGATGTCTTCACTGTGTCTGGTTGTGATCCCCAGGTTGTGCCAGTCAGCTTTCGTATGATGTTGTTTCTAGCACCCACTTTTTGTTTGATATTCAGGCAGTGCTTCTTGTAGGTAAGAGCACGGTCCAAAGTGACTCCCAGGTAATTGGGTGTGTTGCAATGCTCCAGTGGGATTCCTTCCCAGGTAATAATCCTCAGAACTCGGGATGCTTGTCTGTTCTTAAGGTGAAAGGTGCATGTCTGTGTTTTAGATGGATTAGGGATCAGTTGGTTTTCCCTGTAATAGGCAGTAAGAGCACCTAGAGCTTCAGAGAGGGTAAGCTGACATGATATGAGGATTTAAAGATCGAACTGCAAAGACTCTGGCACAAGCCAGTAAAGGTGGTCCCCTGTATGCTGGATTTCGTATCACAAAATCACAAGTCAAACACTTCCTAAGTGTCTAAAACTGTGTGATGTATTTTCGAATGATGCGCACAGATCCAAGTAAGGTAGCCTTTTGCAGTTGACAGATTGTGATTTTGTCGATGTTTATGGTTTCCAAATGCCGGCTGAGATCTTTTGGCGTGGCACCCAGTGTGCCAATGACCACTGGGACCACCTGTACTGGTTTATGCCAGAGCCTTTGCAGTTCAATTTTGAGGTCTTGATAGCATCTGAGTTTTTCCTGTTGCTTTTCCTCAATGCGGCTGTCACCTGGTATGGCGACATCAATAATCCAGACTTTTTTCTTTTCCACAATCATGATGTCTGGTATATTGTGTTCCAAACTTTGTCAGTCTGGATTCAAAAGTCCCACAGTTTTTTTACGTGTTCATTTTCCATGACCTTTGCAGGTTTATGATCCCACTAATTCTTTATTACTGGTAGGTGGTACTTGTGACATAAGTTCCAGTGAATCATCTGGGCCACAGAGTTGTGCCTTTGTTTGTAGTCCGTCTGTGCGATTTTCTTGCAACAGCTGAGGGTATGGTCCATGGTTTCCCCAGCTTCCTTGCACAGTCTGCATTTTGGGTCATCCATTCATTTTTCAAAATTATTATTATTATTATTATTATTATTATTATTGCTATTCTGGAGCAGCACAGAGAAATTATATGCAAATAAAGAGTCTTTGACTCATGCTGGATCAACACTGCCATATAATCCAGATGATTAAAGCAAATAATCTACATCATTTGCTTTGAACTGAATTATATAAGTCAACATTGCCATATAATCCAGTGCAAAGCAGATAATTTGGATTTTTATGGCAGTGTAGAGGGGATCTGTGTCTTCCATTGTGACAGTAGGAGTTGACAATAATGTTGTACTGAAGGACCTCGAGCTTCTTAAAGAGAACACCTCTTTAAAAATTTCGAGGTCCTCCAGCACAACTCTATGGGCAATTACTGCTTGAGCATAAAGTTGCATTGGAGGAACTAGATTCTCTCAGTGTTTTAAAAAAAGATAAATATTTATTCATTGTTCTCCCACTTTCCTGCATCCCTAACCTCAGTGAAGACGCAGGGCTGACTGGATGACTTTGGTCCTCCGTCTGTAAGTAGAAACTGTTGACAACAAGGATGTGGAAACTGGGAAATCCAACTGAAATGGACTGAATGCAGTTGACTGAATGACGCAGCAACAGAGGTAGAACAGGGAGCTTCTGTTTGTGGCTTATTTGCACATTACAAATGTGTTTCCATTCCTGAAATCAACTCTATCCACCCTCAATCTACCACATGTAACACTCTGAATAGAAAATGAAAGTTCTCGGTTCTTATTAAATTAAGGGAGAGTGAGTGTAAACATTTTGTATAACTCAAAAGTTGAATAGGCAGCAGATTCAAATTTTGAAAAATCAGTTTGTTCACAGTGAATTTGTTTGCTGAGAAAGGTTTTGGAATAGGATTCCAGGAGGCCAGGGTTTAAATCACTGCTCAGCCACAGAAACTCTATTAGAAGAGAAAAAAGGACGACCCAAACAATTACTGTCCGGTCAACATCACGTCAATACCAGGCAAGATTCTGGAAAAAATTGTGAAGGAAGTGGTCTGCAAACACTTAGAAACAAATGCGGTCATCGCTAATAGTCAACATGGATTTATCAAAAACAAGTCATGCCAGACTAATCTGATCTCTTTTTTCGATAGAGCTACAAGCTGGGTAGATGCAGGGAATGCCGTGGATGTGGCGTACCTGGATTTCAGTAAGGCCTTCGACAAGGTCCCCCATGACCTTCTGGCAAGGAAACTAGTCCAATGTGGGCTAGGCAAAACTACGGTGAGGTGGATCTGTTATTGGTTAAGTGGACGAACCCAGAGGGTGATTCTCCCCAATGCTTCCTCTTCATCCTGGAAAGAAGTGACGAGCGGAGTGCCACAAGCAGGGTCTCGTCCTGGGCCCTGTCCTGTTCAACATCTTTATTAATGACTTAGATGAAGGGTTAGAAGGCATGATCATCAAGTTTGCAGACGACACCAAATTGGGAGGCATAGCCAATACTCCAGAGGACAGGAGCAGAATTCAAAACGATCTTGACAGATTAGAGAGATGGGCCAAAACTAATAAAACGAAGTTCAACAGGGACAAATGCAAGATACTCCACTTAGGGAGAAAAAACGAAATGCAAAGATACAGAATGGGGGATAATCCCTGACTCGAGAGCAGTATGTGTAAAAAGATCTTGGAGTCCTCGTGGACAACAAGTTAAACATGAGCCAACAATGTGATGTGGCGGCAAAAAAAAGCCAATGGGATTTTAGCCTGCATCAATAGGTGCATAGTGTCTAGATCTAGGGAAGTAATGCTGCCCCTCTATTTTGCCTTAGTTAGACCACACCTGGAATGTTGTGTCCAATTCTGGGCATCACAATTCAAAAGAGATATTGACAAGCTGAAATGTGTCCAGAGGAGGGCGACTAAAATGATCAAGGGTCTGGAGAACAAGCCCTATGAGGAGCGGCTTAAGAAGCTGGGCATGTTTAGCCTGAAGAAGAGAAGGCTGAGAGGAGACATGATAGCCATGTATAAATATGTGAGAGGAAGCTACAGGGAGGAGGGAGCAAGCTTGTTTTCTGCTTCCCTGGAGACTAGGATGCAGAACAATGGCTTCAAACTACAAGAAAGGAGATTCCATCTGAACATGAGGAAGAACTTCCTGACTGTGAGAGCCGTTCAACAGTGGAAATCTCTTCCCCAGAGCGTGGTGGAGGTTCCTTCTTTGGAAGCTTTTAAACAGAGGCTGGATGGCCATCTGTCAGGGGGTGCTTTGAATGCAATATTCCTGCTTCTTGGCAGGGGGTTGGACTGGATGGCCCATGATGTCTCTTCCAACTCTTTGATTCTATGATTCTATGATAACATGGGAAGCTTTCCATGTTCTCAGGACTCTGTCCTAGGATGCTTCCATGATGGAGCCAGGACATACTACCCCTCCCCCAGAAGTATCCCTTCATTATGTGGTAGGCTCTGTCCTGGAAGCACCCTAGGATGGAGCCAAAGACCAATATGATGAAGTCCTAAGGGTCCATCTACTCAGGCAACTAAATCCGGGGCCAGTCTGAAGCACTGATGCTTCAGACCAGCCCCAGATTCTGTAGAGTTGGTTTCACGCTCTGCTCCTGAACTACAGCAGTGGCAGGAGACTGGTCTGGCCTTATAGGATGGTTACCCATACCTTTGTCATTGTTTATCACCACAGCAGCAGCCCTGAAGCTTGGGAAAGCTCCTGGTTCTTGCCGGGTACTTTTGCTGATGTTGGCTAAAACACTTGCAAAAACAGGAGGGAGGAAGATTTGGCGTATGTTGCCAATGTAGGCAGCCCTAAGAGTAATTACAGCCATACCACCCTTTATTTCACAAGTCAAAACTTCAATATGTATAGTCAACCTATATCATAATGCTGTCAAGATGGCATTGGCCAGCATGATGAGCAAGGAAGAGCATGCAAACCAAGAGAGAACAGCATCAGTTTGCTTTTGCTTTGAACCTATTGAGAAGGACAAGACTCTGGCTCTCCTCTCCCCCA